GTTATTGTTCCTCTCTTAATGTTCATAATTTATAAACTAGACTTCATCGTGGGTGTGGGTTTATAGGGAGAATCACAATACCTATGGGGGGTCCTATTCTATCCCAGGTTCCAGACACCCACTGGGTCTTGGAACGTATCCTCCTCAGGTAAGAGGGGGACTACTGTACTTTTTAAAATGATCTTTTAATTGAAATAGGCACCAGATCAGTGGGAAGTGTCTGCTGTGGACAGGAATGAGATGGGCTTTAAAGGTCCGGAGAAGCTCGCATTCAGCTAGAGGAAAGATGAGCAAATACTTCAAAGTCAATCAAAATTAAGTCAAGGTAGGAGCGAGGCGGGGCTCTGCAGGCAGGACACGCCCAGCGGTGCGCATGCTCAAGGAGACCTGGTTTTCAGCCCCTGGGTTGAGGTTGAACTAAGATAGTGCCGTGTGTCAGGTGACCAGTTCTGGCCAATCAGCACGAGCGGGTGTGACCTGAACGTTTTTTTTCATTGCTGGTCTGAGATTCCCCAAAGCTCTCTCCCTTCAGGATGGTGATGAGTAAGGTTTGCAATGGAGGTCACAGAGGAGGGGAACGCGGGGCAGCGCCCTGGGTTGGCCTCAGAGGACGTCTGCAACGAGCATGGTTTCCACACAAGCCCCTGAGATTTTAGAGGTGTCCGCGCTGCAGAACCAAGGACCTCTGAGCTGATACAAGCTTCAGCCCCCCTCTCCTTTGCAAAGATGGTTAATGACAACAGCGACAGCCCAGAGACCATGGCTGACAATTAGGAACCTGGGACTCAGGTAGTGACTGCAGAAATCAATGAGGTTAATTGGTAACTAGTCACTTATCTTCCTGCCACCCAGATTAACCGGGGGACATTCTCGGATTCTCTGTCTCTGTTACCCTCCCCTCCAGACCAAGCCCAGGGACCTGTCCCTGAGCTGCCTCTCACCTCTTGTCATCCTTTATCCCCACAACCACGCCTCGGTTGAGTCCTTGGTGGTGACTAACTTGGATGCTGGAGTGTCTAAGGTCACCTCTCTGCCCCAGCTGTGGTCTGAATCCTTAACCCCTCCTCTTTCTAAAACACAAACATGGCTGTGGCTGTCCCTCTCCTCCTCCCCACTGAAAACCCTCCAGTGGCTCTCTGTTGCTTAATCGAGGCTGTTCAGGATGAGCGGCACCCCTTATAGGAAAAGACACTGACTCCAAAGCCAGCCTGGGCTTGATCTTAGCCACCAATGTGTCTTGGAGCAATTAATCAACGTCTCTATGCTTCAGCTACTTCATTTATAAAGGCGAGGATCATACAAGTAATAATGAATAATAATACCTACCTCATAGGACTTCAATGGATAGTACATTGCTTAAACAATGTATTCGGTTATCTATTGCTGCAATGACAAAACAACCCCAAACTTGGCAGCATAAAACAGTGGTGATTATTTTGTTATTATTGTCCACATCTGAGGATTGACTAGGCCCAGCTGGGCAGTTCTTATCTGGGTCTCCTGCACAGTGGCAGTCAAGCAGTCCTGGTGGCGAGGTCAGAACCATCGCCAGGCTTTCTCACTGTCTGCAGACCTTCCCTGCAGCGGGGCGCTGGGCTCTGAGATGGAGAAGCAGGTGGAAGCCCCGTGAGCTTCATGACCTATCACTGCTGCCTGGGAGGATGGAGTCTGCAGGGGTCTGTGGGCTCTCTGTCCTCACCTCACCGCTGAGTGGCAGCCTGAAGGTCATATGGTGCTGCCAGGGAGGCTGGGACAGAGACTTACTGGTGCTTGATCTTGGCTCCAGCCCTCACTGGGACGCCTAAGAGGAACATGCTGACCCTCAGGAGGTGACTGCAAGACTTCTGGGAAGCTAAGGTGCAGCACAGGGTCTTCCAGATGTACTGGGTCCCTTTCCGGGTCTGTGAAATCTCATGGCTCTCCACCGCCCTGGTTCCCTCCCATGGCTGCTCCCTGCCCTTGTTCCCTGGTCACCCCTGGTCCCTGTCACCCCCTCAGAGCTCTTCCTAGTCCCTCCTCCTGTCCCCTCTTCTGTGCCCCAGGGACCTGTGCTGACCTCCAGCCCAGACCCACAGGGGCCATCGTTCCTATTTATTCTTGTGTCTCCTCCCTGTGGAGCTGAGCTGCAGGGGGAGCAGACCAGATGGCTTCTTCCCCATCTCTGAATGCAGCACACGCAGCAGTGAGCTGGCACACAGTAGGTGCTCTGTGCAGGCCTGTGATGGAGACTTGTGCC